TGTTTGTCATTACTTTTGTTTTGTTGAAGTTAATTTTTAGGCCTTTTTGCAGTGATTTTTCATGAAGTTCATTCAGCATTAATTCCAGTTCTTGTCGTTCCGAGGAGATCAGGAGTATATCATCCGCATATCTAAGGTGATTTAGGTATTTTCCGTTAATACATATTCCTCTGTTTTCCCAATCTGTTGATTTTATTATGTCTTCGAGGGTCAAGGTAAACAGTTTCGGTGAAATTATATCGCCTTGTAGGACTCCTCGTTTAACTTTTATATTATCCGTTATTAATTTGTCGTCCAGAATTACGGTCATGGTTGCGTTTTGGTAAATATCATGTATCAATTGTCGGTATCTTGAAGCTATTCTACTATTGACCAGAGCTTCTTCAACCGCCCAGTGTTCAATGCTGTCGAAAGCCTTTTCATAATCTACGAATACTAAGTACAGCGGAAGGTTGTATTCATTAGTTTTCTCAATTAAGATTTTAAGCGTACGTAGATGGTCGATTGTGCTGTATCCTTTTCTGAATCCAGCCTGTTCCACTGGTTGGTAGTTATCAAGTTTATAGGTTAGTCGGTTGTTTATTATTCTTGTGAAGGTTTTATATAGTTGTGACCAAAGGGAAATAGGACGGTAGTTGTTTAGGTATGTTTGGTCTCCTTTCTTATGTATTAAGATTGTGTTGGCATTTCTCCATTGTTTGGGTATTTTACCTTCAAACAGACATTTGTTGAACAGTATTTTTAGCATTTTTTTTATCGTGTCTCCTCCTTCTTTTAGCAGGTCCGCCAGTATTTTGTCCTCACCGGCCGCTTTATTTCTTTTCATGTAGTTTATGGATTTTTCGATTTCATCTTCAGTTATTTCTGGTAATACCTCTGAGCCAACATTTTGTATTTTCCTCGTGAGATTTTGTTTAGATGATAGCGGTGGGTCATTTTTAGAACTGTATAGGTCTGTGTAATATCTTTCTGTGATTTTTACTATTTCTCCTAGATCTCTTTCTTCATTGTACTCAGCTTTAAGCATGATTAGTTTTCTTTTTCCTATATTTGTCTTCATTGTTTTTAAACTTCTGTTCTTCTCTATGATTTTCTTAATGCGGTCTTCTGGGTATTTCTTTAAATCTTCCTTTATCTGTTTTCTTATGGTTTTATTCAGTTCGGTATACTCCAGTGTATTTCTTTTGTTATCATTCAGTAGTTGTCGTCGTTTTTTAGCATATCTTGTGATTTAGCGCTAATTTTTTGTTGTTTTCGCTTTTGTTTATTAGCAATCTTCAGGCCTGCTTCTAGTAGTTCTGTTGTTATTTTATCGTTTAATTCGTCTAGTTGCAGACCCTTTAGTTGTGATATGTCACTTATTTTTAGCTGGTTTATGTATTGTTCTTTGCGTTCTTTAAGAAGTTCTGTATCTATCTCTTTTTAGATGGTTTAAATTTTTGTCTGTCTTTTGTTAAGTTAATTTTGATTTTGGCTCTAACAATTCTGTGATCACTTCCTACGGAAATCATGTTTATAACCGTAACGTCTTGTACTATGCTCTTTTCTTTGGATAAACGAATTACAAACAATAAAAATTATTAGTGAACTTGAACAAAATTGTCCAAATTTGGATATTATGCCGTACATAAATATCCGTTTGCATACGATTTAAAAGAAAAAGAAACACATTTTAAAAACTTTAAGGAAATACATATTCTTCACGAAGCATGTTTTAAGGTTCTGCAAAATTTTACGGCTGGCCTAGTTGATTATTAACCCTACTGTGAAGTTCATCCCAAATATGTTCGATAATATTCAGATCAGAGCTACAGGCTGGTCATTTTAGAGTATTAATTCCTACTTCTCCCAAGTAATTTGTAAGGATTCTTGCAGTATGCGGCCGTGCATTATCATGCATAAAGACAAAATTATGCCCAATAAAGGGACCAAATAAAACTACTGGTTATAGAACATCCTTTATATACCGGTGAGCATTCGGGAAGCAATTTACGCAAATAAGTTCAGTTCGAAATTCAAATGAGATTCCAGCCCAAATCATGACACCACCACCGCCGAACTTTCTTCTCTGGCACATACAAGCTTGTGCATATCATTCTCCAAGCCCTCTCTTGGCCATCGCCAGACTACAAACAGAACCACGATTCATCAGTAAAGAAAACTCAGCTTTGATCCTGTATATCCTAGTGTTAATGTTGTCGAGCAAAAATTAATCTTGCCATTAGTCATCTTTTATTGAGGTGCCTTCTAACCGTTTTCTCACTTACATTCACATTTCGAAGCTCCTGCAGACGGTTTGTTGCAGCAATTGCAGTAGAATGGCGATTCTTTAAAAATTCCATCACAATAAAATGAACATCTCTTTGCAAGATAACTCTTCTACGACCGGAACTAAGTCAACGTGAGTATATACCAGTCGCCATAAAGCAATGGGAAGCTCTCCGTGCTGTAGTTCGCGGAATACCTACATAAACTTGACTTCTGTCTTATAGTAATGGAATAATTTGAGCAACATCTGCTGTAGATAACACAATTATCTTAATAATTCACTTATAATTGAAATTCACTTATAGTTGAAATCCACATTTGAAAAGCTAAATTACTATTTAATTAAATGTTTTTAACTGATAAGATAAAGAGTGACTACAGAAGACAAAAACATAAACGTGAAAACTGTCAAAAACTCGCATAAATGATCGCAATAAATATTTAAATTGAAACGCAACATGAAACCCTTTAGGAAACTGAGTTTCCGTATCTGGCTGTATACCATGTAAAATAAAGAATTTGTTATTTAAAATCCTTTAAAAAAGGTATTTAATAAAATATTCAATCGTGCATTATCACAGTTACAGAACGTTTTCGGAATGTAAATTCCATCATCAGTGTAACCTTAAAAAATGTAACCACTTTAACAAAAGGAACGTCAAATTTGAAATGTTTTGACTAAGGTGAATGTGAAATGTGGTTGATACTTACGAAATATACATGCTATAAGTGACTACAATATATGGGTAAAAACTCGTTAAATATTGTTAATTTAAATTTTTGTTACATGGCGACACATGACTCTACATATGGTTACTTGGTCCTGAGACAAAGTGTCTTCGAGGACCTGTTGATAACAACTGATAAAAATGTCAATATTGACATGTTAGGACGGATGTCGGATCAAAGCAGTCAGTGCAACTTACGGTAGTTGTCTAAATATGACAGAAGCCAGCATTATTTAAAATTAAATAAGTTAAAATTATAATAATATAACAGTAGCACCCATAAATGTTGTACTTTGTTATGTAAATTTGTCCTACCTATATTTATGTTGAGGACATGGAAAAAATTGTTTTCTAAATTAATGTAGATCGACTGAAGTACGGTGAGATTTTATAGGTATTAATAGGCAACCAACTATACATATGTCTGAATTTATTTATTCTTAACTAAAGATTTTAACAAAAGGCCCTGTATGTTATGCAACATGTGGTAGCTAGAAAATGGAAAAAAACATATGTAGGAAGATGGGTTCTATAAACTTTATTGTTAAGGAGTAATATAGTAAATGATATGTTTGAATGTGCTGTTGAGATGAAATTTAAATATGATAAAATGTTTTTGTAATGTAGTGTTCATGTAGTACTTAACTTACAACTTAAGCATGTAAGGTAATCTATTTCAAAAACAACATTTGGTACCTAGTAAATATAAAAGATTTTTTAAGTTATAAGTTCATAAACATAGATTACTGGTTTGGTGTGAAAAATAAAGTTGTTATTGTGTGTTGACAAATATGCAAAACAAACAGAAAATTGATGGCTGAAAGGTGGTTTTGTATTGCATTGTTCATACATTGCTCAAGTTATAACTTAGCAAAAAGTCCTGTATGTTAAAAGGAACATTTGGTACCTGAGAAATATAAAAAGGATAAGTTATAAGCTTAAGGTAGGTAGCTGAAATTAATAAGCTTTTGGTGTGTATTGTAAAGATATGTAAAAACTGCAAGAGTAGTTGGGTTGTAGGTGGCTCTGTTAAATTTATCTAACGATATATTGTGATATTCTAATATTATTGTAAAAAGAGATAAGACCCTACAAGAGGCTGAATTTTCCAGAGATCCGAAACCAAACGCTGAGGAAAAGTGGATGAGTAAAATAAGGTGTAGTAAAAACAGTATGAAAAGGCGATGATATGTGTATAAGTAGGTGTAGATGTGCTAATAAATGATTTATAGGGGAAGTGGAATAATCTGCTCTGAATTTAGTTTGTAGAAAAGGAGCATGAAGAATATTAGGTATGGAGTCAGACTTAACGCTTAGATTCCTAGAAAGAAGTAGGGAAACATGGGGAGTTTAATATATTAAATAAAGTTTGAGAGGACTAAGAAGGATTAATAGGTGACAAGAGAAAAAAGAAATATCTAAATACTAATAAAAAAGTAAAGTAAGAATATTATGAGAATACAAATTTTTGTTCCTTTTAATTAAAGTGGTTATATACTCTCAGCTTACAGTGATCATAGAGTTTGCATTCCGAAAACGTTCTGTAATTGTGATACAGCCCATTTGGATATTTTATTATATACCTTTTACAAAGCATTTTAAATAAAAATTTCAATATGAAACAGTGCATAAAACTTCCAAAGAATTTTTATTTTCGGAAATTTATAGGGTGGCTAATTTATTTGCCGTAAATTAAAAAAAAAATTATGTTCTACCTATATTTGCGCGAAAAACATAAAACACTGACCAATGCTTGTATTTTTGCAGTATTTTTGATTTAGCAGGAATCAATAGCCAAGAAATATAATAAGGAATACATTTACCATTCAAATTGATTCATTTATTTACATTTTAATTATTTTTTATAATTTCAAAATATATTCAGCATATCAAATAGAAAAAATTCTGGCGTTAAAGGGTTAAATAATAGGTTTTATTTAACATATAATAGCTTAATCTAAGATTTTATAAATATTATTGATTTGTTAGTATTGTATTTCTTACCTAAAATATCGATTTATTATCAGTATTCCAACATTCTTCAATGATAGTTGGCCTTTTTCATGTATATTATACACTTGAATAGTCAGCAGCCACGATGATATAAGAAAAAAGTACAGAACAATGAGTACTGGCAAACAACCTAATATACTATCCACAACAGTGTGGTACACCTAAAATATGAGCTTATATTTATAATATACTTTTCTGAATATGTAAATTATTTTTATTCATTTTAATATAATTAAATATTCTAATAAAAAATATAAATAAGATAAGGTCAAAACCAAAATTCTACTAATATAAAGACCTAAATTTTAGATATTTGTCGAACCCACACGACCGCATTTCATTACCTTGGCTGTATACTTAAACGGTCTACACAGTACAGATGTCCCGAAGACCACTTAACTGTCGTGACCGACAACGTTGGCCCGACGATTGGTGGGTGTTTATGTGTGTTTGTAGGTTTGTTGACCGACAAAATGATTAAACAAGACAGTAGGGTCGACTGATTTAATTTTACAATGGCGACATCCCGTCAGCCGACTTCCCCATACCCAACCGGTCGATTCGGAACATGACAACTATTTTTGCCGGCCAACAAGCCTTTTTTTTCGTCTTTTATGAGAAGGATGGGTCCAAATCTTCGAAACATACCTTGGTCCTAGAAGATGGACAGTACCGCCTTCTAGCCTCGGTAGTGCAGGATTTACACTCCAGTGGTCACGATGATGTCCAAGGCCCTTATTGGAACTCAACATCAGCACGGTTCTCTCGCAGTTCTCACATATTCTAGCACTTTCTCACTACTAATGAACTCTTCTCTCCCTGTGCTCCTCTGTTCATATTCAATCTCACCGCTTCTCAATCTGCCCTATCTTTTTGCTTGCTTCTGGTCACTCTGCTTTCCTTCGGCTCGCCTTTCTTCTTGTTCCTTTTGCTCCAACGTGCATCGGAATACACCCGGTTATACCTCTCAATGCCTTGGCAGAGACTGTTCTGTATGCACATGCCACCATCAATAGACTCTTCCTATCTGCTCGGGTGAGCTGCTTTCTGTACGCCTTTGTTAAAACTGCAGTACTCCAGACAGGCGTAGCGTAGATGACAATCGATTGCACAACAGAATGAAGGGACCTCCTTCTCTCAGGTTTACACCCTTCGATGTTGGGCGTGATCCCCTACCCGGTGAACAATCCTACACACACTAACCATAGGGTTTTCTTGTTGGGACGTGTGTAGATCGTTTTAATGTATATCTATAGCCTTACAAGTTAAGTAAGTGTAGAGTACGATGCATATCATAGATGAAAGCACAGAAGACCTAAACAACAACAAAGGCTTGGCAATATCTGTACATAATAAAATCCTGTGTTACTATGTTCGTTTACGGTAATCTGTGAAACCACTTACCAATGGCAATTAAATTTTGTGAAAGGTTGTTTCATAAAATTTGTTTAGTTTAACTTAGAAGAAAGGCTATTTTTTGTATCAATGAAGAATCCTATTTTTTTTTTAAATTAAAATTCAAAATTTTTATAGGTCTCTACCACTAGAGTTGTAGGTAGTAGAACGTGTTTAAAAATCGTTTCGTGAAGTTTTCCAGTATCAAGCTTCTATTATATTTTCTTCAGGCTAGAAATAGCACAATGGTGATCATTGTGATAAAAACTAAGAGAAGAATATAAAATGATAAACCAATTTTCACTGGAAGAAATATTTGTTTTTAACTTAACCATTGCTGATATAAAATGTATCAAATACGATTCATATGGGACCATAGAAATAAAAATTGACTACAAATGGTAATATTAGGAAGTCCCCATTAGACAAAAGACTATGTCAACAATTTCAGAATATCCTCTTTGTTTTTATTGCCTCCTAAATCTAAAACCGAGAAGTGACAACATTTATAAGATGTTTGAAAAACAAAAACTTTGTTAGCGACGTTGTGAACTTTATGGATGACGAAAAAACATTAAATACACAACAGATTTATGTGACTCTCATCGATAAGTAAATTGGTCGCAAAGTCGCACATCTTGCGAACGGCTCAGCGGATCGTGGCGTATGAAGTCTCGTTGAAAAAGGCAGAAAGTAACTAGTGTAATGATGGATAAACCAAAATGTCATTTCCAAAAGGGCATTACATCATATCTCCGTTATTATTGGTCCGATTGGAGCGTGCGATGGGATATATCAGTTGTAAGTATGGTTGAAAATAGATTTAGTTTAAGACTATAATATATTAACAAAATTATTACTAAACAGATTAAGTATTATTTTGATTTATTGATTTAAAGAAGGCTCCTGGCTGAGTCCAAAATTAACAACCGATTTACTTCTAATATGCGACATAGCAAATAAAAGAAAAGAACTTAACGAAAATATTAATATAGAAAAAAAAATAAGGCAACAAACAACCAACATGCAATGAAGTAGGTGGATAATACAACTTTTTAAGTACATGACAAAGTACTTTACAGTCTGTCCCAAACCCTTTTTTCAGTGCGTCACTAATTTTGACGTCATATAGGATTTTAAAAATGTTGAGGATTATTGCATGACATTTTAGTTAAATCTGACAGTTGCAGGATCGTAATCGGCTAAACGTGAAAAGGTTATTTTTTTTAATGCATAGCAGTTTGTCATAATTCTATTCTATTCTGTTCTATTTTATACATTCCATGGAAAGTGCTTAATTAGCTAAGATTTGTTTATGGATTTATTATTATTTATTACAAACACTAGGGAATTGGAAGATTTGTTTATTTAAAATAACACTTCCTCCTAGAATCTTTTAAGAGTTGACTGCAAGGTAAAAAAATTTACTGACAATTACAAGGCATCAAAGTAAACATTCCTGTGATAAAATAATATCGATTTAAATCAGTCATATTTGGATAAGGAATTTTCTGATAAGTTTGTGTGGCAGCCAATAGTTTAATTTTGTGAAGAGTTGTCATTAAATAGTGGAAATAGTTTAAATAGTGAAGCAGTTGATTTTTGAGTTATTCTACCAGATTTGGTGTGCAAATGAAAGAAGGTTATAAAATTTAGTTAAAAAAAACAATATAAATAGTTTAAATAGTGAAGCAGTTGATTTTTTAGTTAATCTACCAGTTCCGATATCCAGATGAAATCGTGTTAATGGAGTTTAGTTAAAAAACAAGATACCGAATGTAAGTTTACCTTCTTTTTTATGAATAACAAAAATGAATATTATATTTCAAACAATCTATAATCCCATTCAGAATCTGATTCTTGAAAATCAATGATTACACTAGATATGTGGCTGGTATCAATTATATCCTACATTTCAAGAAAATGTCGTGGTTCTAAAAAGAACCGTTTTAATACATATAAATATCCATAAAGGTATTAGTTTAAGATATTTCCTCAATATCACTCCGGAATTCACAATCTGATTCGCGAACGACAGAAACTTTGATAACTCAGCCTCTTTTTCTAATTGAAACTAATTTTATAATTTTAATATTAGTCTTTTTTCATTCTCGGTATATCTCGGAATATTTAAAATATTTTTATGACAATAAATACAAAATTTAATTTTCACTGTAGTTAAAATGTCTGAAAATGCTAACCTGGAATGGCAATTATCATTTTATCAGTTGACATTGTGAAAGTACTGTCACTGTCATTATCAAGATCATCTGTGTCAAATTATAATTATATGCATAATTGATTGGATATCTATTTAGCGTATTCTAAACTCCAACCAATTATACGTTCGTAAGTAGAATTCGCTTTAATATGCGAATACCCGTAAACGATACCTAATTTTCTAAGTTCTAAGTATCATAATCAGAGACTCACGTTTTTTCTGTCACTTCTAGCTTAATGCCTTAGAGAGAATTCGAACAACTATGACGAACTGAAAGAAGGGTTTGGGACGGACCGTATGTATGATCTGTTAATGTTTCATGGAATGGTCGAATTGGTGCTCATAACAAAGTATACTTCATCTAATTTACTTACCTATGCACGTCATTATCATTGACAAAGATCGAAGTAGAAATAAGTGCCAAAGTATAAAAAAATCCTGACTTAATTTTAAATCAAATAGGTCACATAATTAGTGCAAAAGTATTACTATCTCTTGACAACGACTATTTAAATTCGTACGATACATTTTTGAAATAAAACACACTAACTTTGTTCTAAAAAGCACAGATTTTATTAAATAGGTAAAAATATAAAACAAGAGGTATTCACTTTAAAATTCAAAATAATAAAGTACAAAAAGTGTCAACACCACCGCAACTGTCAAATAAGTGTTACCAATTTATGCCAAAATTTCACCTTCGTTTAATTACAGTTACAGATTAATAGAAATGTTTAAATATTATTTCTACGCGGATATAATAAAATATGTCTAGTGACTGTAATGCCAGTGTACTCGGCAAAGTTATTCTAAAAAGGTACACACCTACCGCCTAAATATTTCGTGTTGATATCATGTGACCTCACGGGCTAAGACGCGAATGATGTGCATCGGTATGTAAATTAGATGAAGTATAATAAAAATATGTATTACCTGAGAGACCCTAATAAATCAGATATAAGTTAAATTTGTAGAAAATTGTTCATAAAAAATATGTATTAGTTTAGCTGATAAATGTCCTATTTAGCGATATTACCTTATTAAAACGTATTATTATAAACTGACAAAATTAAGGAGTAACTGGAAACGTTTATTCTTATTTCTTATTCTTAATTCTTATTTCTTTACCAGGATATTGCTATGACTGGTATTCTAGTAAACGGGTTCGACTGTATATTACTTACATCTTCATATATTTCAGGTTCCGATATAAAACTTGTGTTAATTGCTACTCCAATATGAATTAAAATTATTATTAACATTCCGAATACGCGACCACCATTCATGTTTATTAAGTTTTTAAAATCTGTAGTATTAGGTATTTTCGATCTTAATTTCCAGGTGTGGAAAAACGACAATCTTGAAATTGCATATTTGATACCTGCAACAATAAAAATACTTATTGTTATTTGTCATGATAATAAAGTATTTAAACATACTTACAATTGGAAAGGGAAACCAAAAAGCTTAATAAAAAGCAGAAGTTGAAAATGATTTTCTTCAATTACCAAGTAATAAAAGACATATTTTAAGGCAAAATTTACAATTTTTATTTAAATTATTTAATTAACGTCATATTACGATTCGAAACTTCGAAGTATGAACAAAAACCAGCTCATTAGTGTTAATTGTTTATCAGTGAAAAAACAAATATTTTCAAAAACAATATATTTGGAATATTGATAGAGATATCTAAAAATACGTGTGTCGGTTATAAAAATCAAAAAAATAAATAGTAAACTTATAGTTCGTTCACGAAAATTTAAACAAATATACCATAAACAAGAAAACATGCCCAAGAAAAGAAGGGTTCAAATAATGTGAAATGCATACTATGCGAAGGCAATAATCCAGCCAACTACAAGAACCATTCAATATACAAAGAATTCGAAAAATATATACAACCCAGCATCACGTATGCCCAGGTAACGTCTAACAAACAAAGGGAACTCCTTAGCACAAGTGCGCATCAACACCAAAACCATACATCACACGAAACCAAAGGCGATATGTTCAAACTGAAACCAATGATAAATATACTGATTAATCAAATGAGCATAGTGTTAAACATTTTGACTGCAGTGATCGTTACACTGTGAAAATGACCAAATTTCTTAAAATAGTACTCTGGAATGCCAACGGGCTAACGGAACATGTCCAAGCGGTCAAAGGTCTTATATACAATATTTTAACATAATTTGACATAATATATTATTTTGACATAATGCTGATATCTTAAACCCACTTTCTCAGCCTAAGTTATTTTAGATGTCGTAATTATGCAATATACAGCACCATTTATCTAGGTGGTACGGAACACGGTGGATCTGCAGACACAATCAATAAATCAGTTAAGCATCACAAGCATAGCAAAAACTACTAAACACTATTTGAAAGCCACTAGCTTATCGATTAAAAATTGGAAAGTGCCATCTTAAAGGATTACCAAGAAAAAACCTACTTTATCTTACACAACTGTATAACGCCGTATTAAGAAATAATATTTTCCTCTAGCCACTGAACAGATTCATCGGGTTTACCATCAAATACGCTAATGAAATCGTAGGCTTCCACGGCCAGAGTCAGAATTATAGTTTATTCGTCTTCCGGGTTTGGACCGTGTCATTTGTGAGTGACCCAAAAGTGGGTTCATCTCGACGTTTCGCTACAATTATATGTAGCTTCTTCAGGAGAACAAAGAAAAGGAAAAAAGAAAACAAAAGAACAGGAAGATGGGTAGTTAGCAACGGTAACTCAGTTACTCAACGCAACCAGAGGCGAATACTAACTACCAAGATGGGCATTTGGTCACAGTAACTCAACTACTCAACGCAGCCAGAGGTGAAAACCAAATGCCAGGACAGGGATTCACGTCCAACAGCTCAGAACACTAACGCGTCGAGAGGCGGCGAGTGAATCCGACGATTACTCCGCTACCGCTCTATTTATAGTCGCGGTGCCTGTCGTGTCGGGACGTATCGGCACACTTCGTGGCGCGAACGTCAAGAAGCGCGCGCTGGCCAATCATGTGGCTGCATAGTGGTGGCGGGACCGGACGGTGGCTCTAGACTGAGATTCCAGATGGGAGACAAGTAGTATCCTTCCTCTCGATTGATATTATGGGGATTTTTTCGGATCTCTAGAGATTCGCGGATTTTCCTGGAATAAAAGAAGGGGCTCTTAGAAATAATATGGGTTTTTTCGAACAATATGGAATGACCGGTTTCTTGGCAGTGTTCGGCAACTGCAGAATGGGAGAAAAGACCTGATCGAATGCATCTTTGATGCTCTTGAATCCGAGTTTTGACGGAACGACCAGTTTCGCCAATATACACATGTCCACATGAACAAGGAATAGAATAGACACCACAGGAAGATAGGGGCGGTAATGAGTCCTTAGGAGAGGGTAGATATTGAGAGATTTTCTTGGGTGGTCGAAAAGTAGTCCTGATACCTTCTTTGCGAAGAATTTTGCCAATCCTATCAGTGACATTTCGAATATACGGGAGAAAAGCCACAGGAGTATTACCCGAAGATTCTGAATTTGTTGTCCTAGGGTGTAAAGGGGGATTTAGATGTCGGTGTGTAATATTTTGAATTGTGGACTTGGAGTAACCATTGGCGACAAGGGTTTTTTGCAGATGGCCAAGTTCTTCTCTAAGGTTGTCGGGTTCAGAAATCGAAATGGCCCGATGGATGAGAGAGTTGATCACAGAATTCTTTTGGGCAGGATGGTGGTGTGATGAAGCATGTAGGTAACGATTCGTGTGAGTCTTTTTTCTATAAACAGAGTGACCCAATCGGCCATTGGGCTTAGAGGTGACTAACACATCGAGAAAGGGAAGGGACCGATTATTTTCTACTTCCATTGTGAATTTTATACTCGGATGTTGTGAGTTAAGATGATCTAGGAAGGAAGAAAGGGTATGTTGACCATGGGGCCAGATGATAAATGTATCATCAACGTAGCGGAACCAGACTTTTGGTTTTAAGGGGTAAGATTCTAGGGCTAAAGACTCAAAGGCTTCCATGAAAATGTCAGCAATGACAGGGGAAAGGGGAGAACCCATTGGTGTTCCAGATATTTGTTTGTAGAAATTGCCTCTAAAAGAAAAATATGTTGAAAGGAGGCATTTTTCGGCAAGATCTGCCAAAACCAAAGACTTGTTATCATCTGCAGTTCTGCGAGATCACTTGACCAATGATAACAAGTCTTTGGTTTTGGCAGATCTTGCCGAAAAATGCCTCCTTTCAACATATTTTTCTTTTAGAGGCAATTTCTACAAACAAATATCTGGAACACCAATGGGTTCTCCCCTTTCCCCTGTCATTGCTGACATTTTCATGGAAGCCTTTGAGTCTTTAGCCCTAGAATCTTACCCCTTAAAACCAAAAGTCTGGTTCCGCTACGTTGATGATACATTTATCATCTGGCCCATGGTCAACATACCCTTTCTTCCTTCCTAGATCATCTTAACTCACAACATGCGAGTATAAAATTCACAATGGAAGTAGAAAATAATCGGTCCCTTCCCTTTCTCGATGTGTTAGTCACCTCCAAGCCCAATGGCCGATTGGGTCACTCTGTTTATAGAAAAAAGACTCACACGAATCGTTACCTACATGCTTCATCACACCACCATCCTGCCCAAAAGAATTCTGTGATCAACTCTCTCATCCATCGGGCCATTTCGATTTCTGAACCCGACAACCTTAGAGAAGAACTTGGCCATCTGCAAAAAACCCTTGTCGCCAATGGTTACTCCAAGTCCACAATTCAAAATATTACACACCGACATCTAAATCCCCCTTTACACCCTAGGACAACAAATTCAGAATCTTCGGGTAATACTCCTGTGGCTTTTCTCCCGTATATTCGAAATGTCACTGATAGGATTGGCAAAATTCTTCGCAAAGAAGGTATCAGGACTACTTTTCGACCACCCAAGAAAATCTCTCAATATCTACCCTCTCCTAAGGACTCATTACCGCCCCTATCTTCCTGTGGTGTCTATTCTATTCCTTGTTCATGTGGACATGTGTATATTGGCGAAACTGGTCGTTCCGTCAAAACTCGGATTCAAGAGCATCAAGGATGCATTCGATCAGGTCTTTTCTCCCATTCTGCAGTTGCCGAACACTGCCAAGAAACCGGTCATTCCATATTGTTCGAAAAAACCCATATTATTTCTAAGAGCCCCTTCTTTTATTCCAGGAAAATCCGCGAATCTCTAGAGATCCGAAAAAATCCCCATAATATCAATCGAGAGGAAGGATACTACTTGTCTCCCATCTGGAATCTCAGTCTAGAGCCACCGTCCGGTCCCGCCACCACTATGCAGCCACATGATTGGCCAGCGCGCGCTTCTTGACGTTCGCGCCACGAAGTGTGCCGATACGTCCCGACACGACAGGCACCGCGACTATAAATAGAGCGGTAGCGGAGTAATCGTCGGATTCACTCCCCGCCTCTCGACGCGTTAGTGTTCTGAGCTGTTGGACGTGAATCCCTGTCCTGGCATTTGGTTTTCACCTCTGGCTGCGTTGAGTAGTTGAGTTACTGTGACCAAATGCCCATCTTGGTAGTTAGTATTCGCCTCTGGTTGCGTTGAGTAACTGAGTTACCGTTGCTAACTACCCATCTTCCTGTTCTTTTGTTTTCTTTTTTCCTTTTCTTTGTTCTCCTGAAGAAGCTACATATAATTGTAGCGAAACGTCGAGATGAACCCACTTTTGGGTCACTCACAAATGACACGGTCCAAACCCGGAAGACGAATAAACTATAAATACGCTAATCATCAAAAAACAGAAAATATTGCTCCAAAGTGTTTTTAGACATCTTCTAGGTATTTGACATAGTCTGGCATAACGGTCTTTTAGACAAAATTAAAAATACCTTCCCAACAATTATTTCCAAATTCCAAGGTCCTACCATCAAGGTAGTTATTACCTTGTAAAACATCACGATAAGTATAGCAGCCTTTACCCGATTATGGCTGGAGTCCCTTAAGGTAGTGTTCTCGACCAGTGCTGTACCTGATATTCACTGAGTACTTAGCTACATCACCAGAAGTTACAACAGCAACTCATGCAGATGAAACAGCAGTAATCTCTCCTCATGAAGACCCAGCTGAAGCATCACAAAATGTACAGGCTAACCTAACTGCAATACAAACTTGGCTAAAAATATGACGTCTATGAGCAAACGAAACAAAATCTGCGCTAATGAGGTAACATTTACAAACCGCAAGGAAAACTGCCTTCTGCTACAGCAACCTCTGCCACATAAAAACGACATAAAATAGTTGGGAAAAATCTAGATCGCAGGCTTACATGAAGAAAACACATAATATATACCAAGCGAAAACATCTGGCACTTAAACTTAGCAAACTATATTGGTTAATAGGACAGAAGTCAAAATTGTCAATCAACAACAAAATTTTAATATACAAAGTTATTTCAAAATGGATTTGGACCTATAAAATTCAGCTATGGAAAACAACAGCTAGATCTATTATTGCCATTCTTTAAAGATTCAAATCGAAAGTCATCCAAATGGTAACTAATGCTCCATGGTACGTTTCAAACAAGACGATCGCACGGGGCCATAAAATGACAATAATTGTCAACAATGTCGCCAATCTCTGCCAATAATATGATCAGAGACTAACAGATCATCCCAATAATGGAGCTCAAAATTTAATAGCACAACCAATCGGACGAAAGCTCAAACGAAAAGCCCCACCTGTTGACTATAAATTAATCGCAGAAGCTCAGTAGAATCTAAAAGCAAAAGCCCAACCAAACCCTAAAATACACTATTTTATATAGTATCAAGAATACACAGAAAATTGTAATTTTTTTAATGCAAAAAGTATTATAGATTGGATAAAAAAATATGTATATTAAAACAGTGACAGTAATATACCTTTTCGTTTTTAATCATTACTCCTTTCTATAATATATTGTACTCTTTTAACCTCAGATTTGTTTTAAACATCGCCTTCGCGGTGCTCTTCATCCTTGTCGTAGCTGGTCTTTCTCGTTTCCGTTTCCCTGTTCAGTAAAATATTTTTAAGAATTTCTGCTTTCTTTCATTCGCCTGATATATCGGAACTATAACATAAGTTGCTGTTTATCTATGTATTCTATTATATTTCTCTGTATCTCGATGTGTCCCCTAACGACCAAGTGGTCAAAAATTGTATCTTTAAAAACGAAACAAAGTTGAATTTTGCTAAAAATGTCAATTTTAAGACCCAAAAAAGATACAAACAAGTTTTTCACTCTTACCCCCAGACTAAAATCCTCCTCGTGGGGAGTAGGATGACTAGATGACTAAAACCATCGATTTGCCAAGAATGTGTAAGACGTAGAAAAAATATTTCAGACAAGAAATGTAGCTGAAATAATTTTAAACAAAAATGTTAATTAGTACTTTTTCTGTAGGATGAACCGTTCTCGCAAAAATAACAATTGAAGCGACGTGAGACTTTAAATACCATTCACGCGTCAACATTACTTTCTTAAATAAAATTTGTATCAACTCGACGGTAGAAATTCGACATATTTTGACTATAGTGTCCCAGCGACAAAAATCAAAATGCATTTTAAATAAGAATACTGCAACTTTGTATGCAATTCTTTTATTTTGCCGCAAATGAAATTAAAGTCTACACAGCTGTTAAATAAATTAAAGTTGTGCTATATTTGCCATTTGTCACGATTAATTATTGATCAAAAGATATCGAATTTTCACCGTCGAGTTGATATAAATATTAATAAAAAAATTGATTTCGCGCCGTCACTGACATATAAAATCGTCGGTCACCTTAAGCGTTCTTTATTATAGAATGGTTTATCCTACAGAAAATCAAAAGTGCAAATGAATATTTTTGTTTGAAATTATATTATTTACATTTTTTTCTCAGATGTGCGACGTACAGATTCTATCTTTTCTAAATCGATGTTTATCGTTTTCCCTATGAGTTGGTTTTAGGGGGAAGTCCAGGAGTAATATGGCAAACTCTCTTTGCATAGTTTTTAAGGTCCCAAAATTGACATTCTCATCACAATTCAGATTGTTCGTATGATTTTTACAGGCTCAGTGGCATTTTTGTCTTTGGCGACTGGCTGTCTCATATTTTCTTGTCATAAAAGCGAATTTATATGAACGACTGTCCAGCTCCAATTTTTTCGTCTCTTCTTCCATTCCTTACATAAATACTGTGTTTTTCCACTGAATCTGGCTTTATACATTTTTTTCACAAATTTCCTTGGTATATATTTTAGATTTTTCTTGTTCTTTGCAATAAAAATTTGAAAATCGGCATAATGAATGTGTAGAGTATTGTATCGCATGTAGGCAGTGCCATTCTCTTGCATTGCTGTTGCCACTGTTTCATAGCCTTATCAATGTAAATATTTAATATTACTGGAGATATAATAGTACTACTTTCTAAGCCTTTAGTGACTAGGAACCTTTCAATGTTCTATTTTTCAATTCAATTTTAGAGGTAGAGTTCTTTCAGAGAATGAATGACAGTTATATTTTTTTTAAGTTTTTTCTAGAACTTCCCATAGTTTAAAAATAGCTACTGTATCATATGTTTCAGTATATTCACCACTAGTAAGAATAGGACAAGTAAATTTCCGCTAGAAGAAAGAACCGTAATATGTTAAATTTGCTATATGGTTAATTTGCTATATTAAGATTCTTAGGGCTAAATGTACTCTAATCGACTCATGCTGGATCTGATTTGTAAAACAACTTTAAAGAGAATCAACAACTCCCATTTGTTAGACTGGTAATTCAGTTCTTAAACTTGGTATGATCACACATTATAAGAACTCAACAAGTACCTATACTCACCTTTTTCCTTCTCATAGGTTTTTTCCTTATATGTGGCAAGTATTAACAACATGTTATACAAAACCACCACAACCCTAAAAAAATACATAGATGCAGGTACAGAAATAAAAATGATTTAACTTTTACAAAAATATTTTTAACTACTATATACTTAATGTGATACATATACCTACTGATGCCCCCACAGACATCATTGTGTCGATAGACAAATAGCTGAAAAATTGTAACACGATGCGTTATTTGCTGGTAAAACAATGTTTTTCAATCTTAATGTACTTTAGAAAGTTTATATATAGAACAAAAAAGACTATAGTGGTATGGGCATGTAAAAAGAACTAGCGACAGCAGATGGATAAGGAGAATAACCGAATGGAGCCCCATAGGAAGAAGGAAAAGAGGACGACCCCAAAGATGCTGGAAGAACGAAGTAGACGACGCTGTGAGTAAGAGAGGCCTAAACGATGGAGAATGGGATAACAGAGAGATATGGAAACGGTTGAACGAGGGAAGGCAGTGAATACTGTAGAATATAGAAAATTTCTAAAATTTTATGACGCTTTTGTAAAAATTGTTTAATACAATTACACTGCTGCAATAAATTGTATGTACATGTGTATAATACAAATAAATATCCCACGTTTTCAAATTATAAAACAAATTGGAATCTGTTCAGATTTAATATTTAAAATGCAATAGAAATAAATCTTTCTCTTAAAACAATGCAGATGATACTGTGATAATGGCATCTAGTTCGGTTCCTGTTACAACCTGTCAAATTTTACAAATTTCTTTAAATGAAGTAGAAAAATGGTTAAAACTGTGGCGAGTTAAAGCGAATGGCAGCAAATCAGCAGACATAACATTTACTTTACGCAAAGAGAGTGTACTATCTGTGCGCACAAACAATACCATAATACCCAAAAAAAGTGAAGTTAAATATTTTAGAATACATTTTGACAGCCGACTAAATTGGGCAAAGCACATGTGAACAGAGTGACTGCAACTAGGATTAATATACAGAAAAATGTATTGGTTCGTGAACCAAAAATCCAAATTAAGTCTACATAATAAATTAATACTATATAAATGTGTTCTAAAGTCAGTTTGGACCTACAGTATACAGATGGATACAGCATCTAATTCTTACTTACTGAAACATCAGCATTTCCAATCTAAAGTTTTAAGACATATTACCAATGCACCGTGGTACGTGCCCAATTATGTTATACATCGATACATTCAGATCCAAAATATTAAAGACACCGTTGTCTCACTCAGTGGTACTTACAAAAATAGACTATAATAGTCAATATATAGATAATAAACTATAATAGACTATAATAGTAATATAATTTTATACTGAGGTTATACTGAACCATCCAAATACGCTTGCCCAAGACCTACTTAAGCGACCGAAGAGAGGAACAGTAAAACGCCGTGATCCCTTAGACCTTTCTATACCTTTACATACATAAACGTATACTCTATCATTTTATAGCTAAAACTTATACCTATAACTTATAATTATGTGTGTATTCTAACTAAAAAAAAAAAATTTGTTAAAATCCTTTATAAAAGTTATATAAAAATGTCTCAAACCGGCTATCACAAACACATTGCAAAACGTTTTCGGATTAAACAATCCATCATCAGTGCAAACGGTTGTACATGCTAGTAGCCACCAAAATATATGGGTAAAAACCCTTTTTACAATTTCAAATTTATAACATTTAAAGGGTTTTTACCCATATATTTTGGTGTCTACTAGCATGTACAACCGTTTGCACTGATGATGGATTGTTTAATCCGAAAACGTTTTGCAATGTGTTTGTGATAGCCCGTTTGAGGCATTTTTATATACCTTTTATAAAGAATTTTAACAAATTTTTTTTGTGATATATGGTATACAGCCAGCTACAGGAACTTAGTTTCCTCGTGGAATTTTGTATTCTAACTATTGCTATTTTTTATTATGTTAGTAAATGTTTTTGTAAAGTGCTATTTTATTTCAAATATTTATATATATTAGAAATTTATCTTAAAGAAGTTTTGTCACTGGACGGATCACCCATGTGTTAATTACGTGATAAACTTATTGATTATTGTTTTTTTATTACTCAACTACTTTTTTTCTTTGTTTTAATAATCGTATAGTTTGGGCTGCTATATTTTTATAATTTATGTAATTATTATGATTACTTTAGGTTAGATATGCTTGCAAGGCTTCTGATCGCTTTTTTATTACGAATGTACATTCCTCATCCCACCAATAAATCATTGGCATTGAAGAAGTAAACGGTTTTTTTATGGGCATAGATTTGGAAGCAGCTAGAATGATATTCTGAAAGAGTAGGGTTGTATTCTCATCGTTAGAGATATTATTAGATGATAAAAATATGGTTAATTGTTTTTCTAAATCTGTCTGAAATAGCTTCCAGTCAGCGCGGCAATCATTCCATTTCATTGATGGATTAATTAGGAATGAAGAAAGATTAATTTTAAGCTCTATTTTAATAGGAAAATGATCGGATTCCAATGTGTCGGTATATACTGACCAGTTTATACGATTTGTTAATGAGGTTGAGGTGATAGTCAATTCAACGGCAGAATGATTACCACTCGCGGCGATTCTAGTAGGTGTTCCGTCATTTAGAGAAACTAATTCCAAAAAATCCATGATTTCGACTAATATTCTACCATTACGGTCATCCGGGATCGGACTCCACATGTAATGGTGGGCATTAAAATCACCACAAAAAACTGTTTTATTATATTCGAATTGTTCAAATAAATGTATTCAATCAGCCTTTTCTACTCTGATGTCAGATGGTTTATATATAGACACTAAAGATATATTAATTTTGTTAAGTAAGACTGCAAACACTTCTATTCCGGTATTAAAATTATAGTTAATGTTAATTATTTGATATTCAATGCCCTTTAGTAAGAAAATGTCTACACCGCCATTGCCACTTTCACGGCATTTTGAAACAAAATTATACCCTATTAATTTGAAATTCATTTGGTTACCAAGTTTCGGATAAAATAATAATATCCACATGAGAAATATTAATATTATTTATGAGATTATCGTTATTACTTACTAGTGATCTACAATTTCATTGTAAAATATTTAAGAAAGATTCAGTAGGTTGACTGCATTTGGAAATTAATAATACGAGTGAATGCTTTCATTGTCACTCCTCGCTAAATTATCCGTTTCTGTGTTATTACCCGTTTCTTGTAAATTATTAGAAATAAGTTTTCTTAATTCATTTTTTAAATTACTTATAGGTTTAGATTGATTATTGGTATAGATAAGTAAATTAATATGAGATTTGACAAGTAATATAAGTTTCTCTTTGTAATCAATAAATTAATCCCTGTAGGGATTGGGTATTATAGAATTAGATTTAGGGGTAGGTCTTTTGCTAGAAGTTCAGACAGAGGTATGAGGTAAAATTGGTGGAGAAGTTGCTTTACGTTTATTAGTTGTAGTTGTGTGATTAGTTTTCCTTACAAGTTTATTTATTGTGAAATTAGGGACATTGTTAGACGAGGTAGGTGAGCTGTTAAAATTGATAATGTTATTTAAAATAGAAAATCTAATATAAGTTATTATTTTTTCGTAGCTTGAATTGTTATGTAATTGTTCTGCTTCTCTGAATGTTATATTTTCTGATGCCATTATTGCTTTGATTTTCTTCTGTTTCTCGTATATTGGACATTTTCTAGACAACGAGGTGTGATCGTTGGTTTTACAGTATATGTAATGATTATTTTCATTACAAGTTTCTACAGTATGGGTGGTGTCTGTAAATTTTTTACATCTACTTTCTTTAGATTTACATTGTTTTGATAAGTGACTATATCTGAGACATATATAGCATTGCACTACCGGATGTATATATGGATCTACTGAAAAATTGCATAAATTAATTATTATGTTTTGTGCAACCTCGTTGCCCAAAAATTCTACAATTATCATTTGTCTTGGTACTAATTGAGTTGTGCCATCGTTCTTCGTTATTTTTCGTTGCATGCTTTGAATATTTACGACTTGTCTCTAGGATATTATGGCATCCTTTATATAATTCTCCGAGAAGAAAGTATCAACCATACGGACTATGCCCTTTCTATGTGTATAAAATTTTGGAATATAAGCTATAAGATCATTTTTAATTAATAAATCATGATTAAATATTTCATTTGCTATAGAATAAGTTTTAAAAATGACTTTTTTCTTCAAACGTCAAATAATGATGACATTACTTATCTTACTTGATCCTGTCAAAGTTTGTTTTTGATCCAGTTTTTTTCCCATTTCTTTACGGCGCGGAGGGAAAAATGTTGTCATGGCAACAATATGAAACATGTCACAAAGCAACAATACAAATGTCATTAACAACAATTAAACATCATTTTTATTTGTAGTAATATTAAAAGTACAATTAGTTAATAAGCCATTTTCAAAATTGAAACCGTGCAAAACTGTTCCCGACTCTTGATACGCATTGGTAATTGCGATGATACTGATGGTCGAGAACAACTTTCAGCAACCACTCCCGATGTTGGCGGCTTGCGAACAAGAATAAGCTGTCTTTAATAATTGCAAACAACTGTCAAACAACTGTAACAAGGGAGACGCAAATCCCACCGACGATTTAATTATTTTAATTTCTAAAATCTAGACGACTTCGATAGTTGTCACAGTTAATTTGGAGTAAAAATAGCGTATGAATTGTACTATTTATGGTTGAAAATTGCTCAGTTTTTATATCAAGTACATCATTTTTAATAAACGAATCATTTAATAAAAAATGTCCTACCTTCATTGGAAATAACCTACCGATATGTTTATTTTTGTGTTCAATATATACAAAGAATGGATCCTTATCGCTGGGTTTATACCGGTTTTCAAAAACAATTAAATTATTTACAGTCCTGTTATCATCCATATTAGTTTTTTTAGAAGAGTTTTCAGAATGTAATTCATCGGGCGGTCTATGACCTGTAATAGCGTCTTCCTCCATAATTAGATTTTTTGGAATACCAAATTATGGACCTAATTTGCACTAAACAAATTCACAAAATAACACCATAGCGATCACTTTAAAACTCGCAACGAAAGGAATATCGAAACAAACGGTCTTCTACAGCTATCGACACGATACTGTACTACCTATTTTATTTTAACCTATTCTTACTTGGAAACCCCAAAATGAAGACGACCAATAATTCAAATACTTTTTTTAATTGTTTTTTAATTTTTTGTACATCGATTTTATTCATTTAACTGTCAATAATCTCTTGTTTCTAGTGTTTTTTACGTACACCATTGTATCATATACCAGACATTATTTTACGACTTTAATATTTTAAATTAGATAAGAATCAATACTTACAAACAAATGATATCAAAGGCATTTATTTCCATTTGTGTTTTGTTGCAAGTCATATCTTCAACTTTGGCACCTAACTGAAATGACTTTATTTCTTGATTAACTAGATTAGATGAATAAGAGTAGAGTTCAAAGTCATCTTTTATAAACATTTTAGGGACACATAGAGTTCTGTATATAAATTGTCGGTCAAATTTTGTGATATCTAAACTGTAGTTCTAAAAAAAATTTAATGGATACAATATACACTTATATGACGACTACATATCTACTAATCTTAATCATAAGAAACTTAATATAAACTATACGTAAAAGTAAGTACCTGTTAACGAAGAGCTGTCAGAAGAAATTGAGATTAGATGTGGAGTGAGACAGGGATGCGTATTGTCGTAAATTTTTTTTAATGCCTACTCAGAAGAGATCCTGAAAAATGCTCTTAAGGGTGAAACAGCTGAAATAAAGGTAAATGTAGTTCCCATTAACAACATTAGGTATGTGGACAACACTGTGATCTTAGCCGAAAACATGGAAGATCTTCAAAGACTGGTGAACAGAATAGCAGAGTATGGAAAAAAGTATGGTCTAACAATGAATGTCAAAAAGACGAAATTTATGGAAATATTAAAAAATTTAAAGAAATAACGACAATCTTTTAATAAACGGAACCAACGTCGAACAAGTGGAGAAATATGCATATCTGGGATTAATGATTAACTCCACAAATGATTGCATTCTGGAAAATAAAATCAGAATAGAGAAGGCTAGAGCAAATTTCAACAAAATGAGAAGAGTGGTATGTACCAGGTATTTCACACTGAAACTAAGAGTTAGGTTGGCGCGATGCTATGTTTTATCGTCTTTATTTTATGGAATGGAATCTTGGACCTTGAATGCAACATCAATAAAAAAACTGGAATCATTTAAACCGTGGGTACATAATACAATTCTGAAACTATCGCGAACAGAACACATCACAAATAAAGAGGTTGTGAGAAAAATAAATAAATAAATTGAAATTTAAAATACAATTAAAACAAGAAAATTAGAATATCTCGGATATATTACACGTGGAGATAAATACACCTTGCCTCAACTGATTATGCAGGGAAAGATCCAAGGAAAGTGAAGCGTAAGGAGGCGTAGAATATCATGGCTGCACAACCTGAGAGAGTGTTATGGATGTACATCAAATGAACTTTTCAGAGCAGAGATGGCACTTGAAAAAGAATGTGTGCAAGTGTTTGCTTAGTTGGTTATGATCAGTTAAAAACCAACTGTTAAGCTTAGATTTAAGTACTTCTTTGATGCTGATTTCTCAAGGTTACTTAGTCTTACCTTGGCAAGTCTACATCCTTAACCTTCTTCATATCTTTTCACGGTTTGTGTAAGGGAGTGCCATTTGACAAAATCCGCCATTGTTGTAGTTGTTTAACCAAAAAGACTCTGGGTCATAAGAGTCTTAGGCTTGACGCCTTCCTAGCTAATTGGTCAACAATGTGGTTGCCTTTCTTTCTAGTTTGCTCTTTGACTTACCTTAGGATGATAATATTACTAGTCGAAGCTTGAGTGACTCGTGACACTACATTACTAACCCTGATGTGACACGTGGCCTATTCATGGTTAGTAGTAGCGCTAGTCTGCGCAGATGATTATAGTTTTCCCGGCTATATACTGTTGGGTTATCTCTTTTTTAGCATTTTGAACTGGAATATGGAATATTCCCATAAGTAATATTCTCATTTTGTATCAATAACCTTTCACTGTTGTACGTATTTTCTTAGATATTCACATATCTCGTTTCACTACATCAAAGCTGTGTCAAAAATCTTTAATTTTTCTGTCACCCCTCTTTCCATCCTAACTAAGAAAACTATTTGTCAAACGGAAAAAGCTATTTCTCATCTTCCAACCAAGCCGAAGTTGCCATTCGAGATGTCTCCAGAATTCATCGTACTTCCAAACCTCCACCATTAAATATAGGTATTTCGGAAAGACGTGCCCTCAAAGAACTTTATAACAACCCTGACATTGTTATCTTTATAGCCAACAAAGCTATTGTCAGCGTTATTCTCAACTCTTCTCATTATTTTGATAAAATGTTCGAATTTTTCAATTGGACGGAATACAAAAGCGTCCAAAACAATCTCACCACCTTTCTACAAAAATGACAAATCACTCATTAATAAGTCTATTCTACCTGAAGACATCAAAAAATCTCCTATACCTAGAGTCAACCCTAAAAGTCAACCCGAATTCCAAGAGTACACAGCCTGACAAAAATACATAAGCCCAATATCACTCTATATCCATCGTCAGTGTATACAACTGCCTCACTCACAAATTGGCAAAACTTCTCGCCTTTTCCTTACAACCATTAGCCTAAAACTACTCGTCATTTATCAAAAATTCTTTGTATATTGTATTAGTTCGGGACATAAATACTAGAAAGATTTCAGAACTCCGAATGCAAGACTCAGAACGCCTGACCGCTGTCTGTGTGCGCGTGTGATAAGAAAAGTGAAAAGTAAAAAGACACAGTGTCAGAAAAAGTCCTTTTTCAGGTTATATCTAGAGGTACTAATTGAAATTTATTTTAATGGTTTATCGACATATATTTGATGATTATTTAAATATGTTTGGTATAATTTGTAGTCTAATAGTTAACAAGTTTAAATCGGGGAACAGAAATTTGTTGTTTTTATTAAGAGATATATTAGTTATTTGTTATTTTAGTAAATATCGGAAAAACAATTAATGAGGATTGAAAAAGCAATAAGAACCAACAATTAGATAGAATGCAACAACAACAAATACATAATTCTAAAGGAGTACAAAATAGTGATACATCTAAGAAATATACATTGAAAACATCAGCGTTCTAGCAGATTATAATAATGATACAACAGACGAACAAAGAAAAACATAGCGAATGTATATTTCGGAATATAAAGTTATTTCATTAATTAAACAAGAGTAATTTAAAGTCAAATAAAACTAATCTCATAGTGGCAGATTAATGCTGGTATATAGAGATGGCTCTAAAGCCGATAAAGAAGTTGGAGCTGAAGTATATGGAGAAGAAAAAAACTAAACCTTAATTAAATCCTAGATAATAACTCCACTATCTCCCTACGGAAATTTATGGTTTAGTGATGTGTGTGTAGTAACTATTAAAGAGCAACTGCAGGAAAAGAGCTGTAAATTAGATTTAATAGACAGGTGGAATTAAAGGCACTGGAATCAAGTAAAGCCGACTTTAAGTTCGTTTGCAAATATCGAAATAAACATTCGTAGACCCAGCAATTTTCATTGGAATAGCAAAAAGCACCGCTAGAAGAATAGTATTGGACTATGGTAATTAATAAAACGTAACCACATGTACAAACAAATGGGTCTGAAACATACAAAAGCTTTAAAAATAATCCCAAAGATCTACTAAATAGAAATAGGAATTGTATCCAAATTATCGTAGATCTGCTAACAGGACAGTGTTGCTTTAAAGGACAAATAAGTAAAATAGAAAAGGCAGAAAGTACGAATTGTAGATTTTGTCTGGCTAAAGATGAAACAGCTATATGACTTCGCAGAAGTGTTACCAAAAACCCTTACAGACTTTTAAAAAAGGTTAGATTAAAAGGCGTAGGTCGACTGGAAAGGTGCAGACTCCCAATGTACCTAACCTAACATAACCTTACTTAAAATGTACATTTTGTTAATTTTTTTTAATTGAATATTTATTAAAATATTACTTACCTTTATAATATTTATAGTGTTTAAATTTGTAGATGGCACAATCAGTCTAACGTGTGCCGAACAATAGTAATTACTGGGATCTTCAGCACATTTAGTGTAATTTTCCATTTTATATAATGGTGGTAACATTTTTTAGTCTAAAAAGAAAAATTAGTTTAAGATACTTATAAAACTATTTAGTGTACTAGTGTAGTATATTAAGTTTAAATATTAAAATTTACAGAGTGACCCAAAAGTCTGGAAACGAACAATTATCTCGTAAATTGCTAGTCATAATTCAACAAAATTTGTGGTAAACCTATTTTGAGATACGGAAAATCCACATCAGATATTTACAGTGTTGCCAGATTTGCCGTGTCTCTTATATTATTAGTAACTTTGGTTTTTCATATTCATCAACCTGTATATTTAGTCAATATTGGAATCTCCTGTTTAATACGATTTTAACCATATGTAAGACTTTTGATTTTATGTAGTCTGGAAGATATTAAATACATAAAACAGTGCAAAATATGTAGATTTCCATAAATTTAAATATTTAAATGTAGTCGTGTGATTTTGACATTTATTCGCCATTTATATTATTAATTAAAACTATCAGTAGTTGTGTTTCGAAAAGTTCTGAAAGATAAATTGAACTGCTTACAATAAAAGGGGTCCAAAAGCAATTTTTTTAATATCGAGTTAAATACAGATTTGAATACCTAAAGTATAGTTTTATTAATTTTATAATAGATCTAAGTGATTTCATACATAGACTGAAATCTATCGGAGTTTGAAAAGTATTTTATAAATAACAGTATAGAAACCTTTAGATCCAAGCGCAGGTTCCCTTATATTCCAACTTCCAACTTAAATACAGTCAGTATACTTTGACTTATATGAAGTAATGTATATTATTACCATCGATATGTATGACTTAAATTGTGTATAAAACGATAACAATAATTTAAAAAAATTTTACAATATAGCAGTATCACTGAAGGTAAGTAGGATAACGATAGATTCCGAAAACCGATATATTACAAAGCATCTGCAGATATAAATGTAATTTGTTTTGATCTTCAGCAAACTCTTCCCGCTATCTTAATAACTACTTCTAACGAAAGCGTTTTATTTGCGACAGCTTTGGACGTATAATTTTTGTGTGTTCACAATGTAACCACAGGAAGATCAGAAATTTACATTTGGGATGAAGCTATTTTAAGCAGGGGATCTCAAGAAATTGGTTCGTGCCTTATTAAATTTGTAAAAAACACTCTTTAAAAGTGTTACCAAGATCATCTCATATAGCGATTGCTGCGGTGGGAAGAACAAAAATATAAACATTGTAAAGCTTTTTATGTTCTTGGTTTAATCTACTTATATTCAGGAGATTCACCACAGGTTTTGGAACCACGCCATACATTTATGGAGTTCGATTGAGATTTTGGTATAATTGCAAAAGTGAAGCGTAAGAATCCAGAGATATATATTCCAGAGCACTGGGCCCATCTTATTTAATCAGTTTGCAAAAAGTTTAATGTACACCAAAAGAATCAAGAAAACTTTTACAGTTTTGAAACAACAAACAAAGTTATAAGTGATCTCAAAAAGACAGGAAAGGTATTCTTTACTGTTCTTTTTAAATGAGACCATTGCGGTACATTTTGTATGAAAAATATTTCGAAACATTTTCGTTTTCTTTTAATGAAACATTAAATATAGGGTTTTAATTTTTTACATGTGTATGTGTACAAAAAGGTGCTGGATGTTCTACTATTAGCATGGAGAACATGTTTAAACAAATCTTGACGCTTAGCCGATAAAATTCAATAAATTGAAATGGGACAGTATTCAAAAACTTCAATTTATGACTGAAAAAAATTAAAAACTTAAACCGTTAACGAAATATCTGAAGAAGGATTTTAAGAAAAAAACTAAAACGTTGGAGTTGGCTTTGCTGCAAACTAAGTTTGGCGAAGACATGAAAGATTTAGCAGTGCTGGACTCTGATTATGAGTGAAATTTGCTTTGTGGAAATATATTTTTGTCGATTATCTTTTTATTTTAGCTTTTCACATTAGAAATAAATAATTTACCAAATTAATTACTATTTAACTGGGAATAAGCCACAATTAAAGATAAAAATACGTTTATTGACGTTTCAATTTCCACTTCGGAAATCGTTCTCAAAATATATATATATATATATATATATATATATATATATATATATATATATATATATATATATATATATATATATATATATATATATATATATATTTACGGCATAAAGTGGAGTCCGCCCATGTTAAAATTCAGGTTTAAGTGAGCTCCGTGGTCAAGTGGACACCGATATACGGAGCTCACTTGACCATTCCCTAATATTGGTTCTGTCGATTCGTTAACATACAGCGGTTCATAATTTTTAAAAAAATTTTGGAGCCCATAAATACCCCTGTATGATAAATGTATATCGTGTAGTTCACGTGTATATATTATAGGGGTCGTTCAGGTCTTTTTCACTGTATATTTGAACAATTAGTTTATCGGTTTAAGTAAGCTCTGAGAGTTTGGCAACCGTGCGATTATAGCGTATATTTTCAAAGTTTAGCCTGAACGGTTTATATGAGCTCCTTATTTTTTATCTACTTTTTGTAGGCCGTGTAATGCCATACGCATTACACTGTATAATCAAGGATATCTTATTACCGGGTATTACTACGTGCTAATAGGTACAAGGTACAGGTTATTTAAAAAACAGGTATATAGATACAAAAGGACTTGGGCTTATTATTTAATGGAATGGTCACTTGCATAGAAAATTTTATTTTCTCTGCATTTTTAAAAATGTTATTTTTTTACTTAATATAGTTTTATTAGTTCAATGTTGAAGTCTACGTTTTTTTAATTGTAGAAGTTTCGTACTATTATTCGTACGAATTTATAGATAGTCTACAGTTCAACGATTTCATGACATTATTGGAGGTTTAGTTTTGTGAAAGCGTTTGTGTTAGGGAAATTGAAGGAGCACATATGAGTTTTTCAGGCGTTTTGGCTGAAAATTGATTCATAGTTTATTTTTATTGGGCAATAATAGGTGTATCGTCTGTATATTAGAAGTCCTAGTATCTATAGGTATGGGTTAATCGTTTATTTATACAATGTAAGTGTCTTTATGCTATCCCAAGCGAGACCGTTCTTCATCTGCTATTCTTACCATCGAGTGATACGAAAAATATTCTATTGTGTAGGCATACACAGATAATTTTATCGTTTGTTATCTACGGGGATATCATATAGTTTTTCGAGAAATATCCTGTAATTTAAGGTGTGGTAAGCGGAATTTATATTGAAAAATACCACCCCTGATACCCGATATTTTTCGTACCCGTCTTTGCTGTCTTGAGTAACATTTAGTATTTGTAAAGTACGCGATCTTCCCTATCTATAGCCACTTTCGTCTTATAATTTGAGTTTTTTTTCTAATATCGGTGAAATCATATCATCGTCTCTTGTGCAAAAGTATTTTAAATAGCTGACAAAACAAAGATATTGGCCAATAGTTTTTGTGGTCGTTGGAGTTTTTGCCAGGTTTAAGCAAGGTAACAACTTTGGCTCGTCTCTAGACTTTGCGTATCTGCATAATTTGAATACAGTTGCTCATCATCCGGATAAGCCATTGTAGTGTTTTGGTCCAGATTTCGTAATTAACTGTGTGTTCAGATCCTCAATGCCGGAAGTTTTATTATTTTTCATTTAATATGTAGATGTTGGATCCAATCAAGCTGACTGTTTTTGTCCTTTCTTATTTTAAGTTTTTCTTTGCTTCTTTTACGACAAAGATAGCAGATCTATATCTATAATAAGGTTTTCAGCGATCAGCTTAACACCAAATATCCTAGGTTAGGCCCTATATGTGTTTCCTGCACTAGAAATACGCCAGATTCATGTTTAGCGCATATTTCTGATAAGTTTAATTCAAGTAAAGTTTCTTTATCTCTAGATATACCCTTAACATATATAGGCATATGTTATTAGAATAGTTGGTAGTAAAAAGAACAAATTTGACAAAATAAATAAGTTTGTGATATCGGTTGCAACTTATACATGTACAGATAGATAATAAGTAAGTATAGATAATAAGAAAATAAACAGCTAAAATAAGTGTAAAAAATTCCAACTACATACACCGGTGCCATTGTTTAAGTGATGGGTTTATCACAGATATCAAAGGTTACATTTTAATTCAAGGTTCTATTTACATATTTTCAACATGAAAAGACATGTTTATGCTTTTATTTTTTTAAATCTATTATTTTCTCTTTCTTGCAGCTATTTTAATGTTCTTTATTAATTGTCTTGTTTCTGCAGTAGGCATATATGTGTACCATGATAGGTTGTTGTTTTGTTTAATGTAATTACTCTTTGCTTTTGCCAATTGCTTTCTTACTTCCTCAGCGATTGGTCTTTTTTTTTCTCATCAATAATCTCATCCTCTCTCGATATAGCTATTCTAAGATATTTAGATTTCACTATATGCTCATATCATTTGGTTTTTATCTCAAATTTGGACCTATGATGAAATTTTTATATCTTAAATCTAATGCTTTCATATTAAACAGGAATAAAATACTTAAATACTAGCCAAATTGAGATTAATTTTATAGTTTCCATTTTATTAGTACTGATGGTACATGATTAGCATCTGTTGGTACTATATATCAATTTCAACACATGGAAGTGAGAGCAATCTCCTGTTAGTAATTCCAGAGTCAATTATGACAAAACCCTTGATTGGATATTATAGAGTATCCAATATTTCAATCAACGGTATTTCAGAGTGATTTTTTTTAAATTTTTATATATATTTGCAAAATGAAGAAGGAAGTTCAGTACAGAGCCGGTTAAACAGCTAATCTGTCAATTTAGAAGGAAGAACAAGTACCAACTTGCTAAAAAGCACACCCATACACAAAAGGGATGATAAAATGTACTGCACAAACTGTAGTAGTATGAGTAACATATAAGCTATATATTAATAATTAGGATATACAGTATTTTTTCTAATACACCTGGAACGATTGAGTAAATAGGTGAACTATCAAACAGGAGACTATTAGTGTAAAATTAGAAAAACTTAA